GCAGCAGTAGCTTCAGCAGACCTAGAGATCCGCAAGATAGCACCAAGGGCTTTCCAGTCCTCCGATCAAGATGGTTATAGTGAATATGCCAATTTGAGGAACATAACTACCTTCAGGCAAGAGACTTGGGGGGGGGGGGGGAGGTGAGCTGCTTCCAGGTATTTGCTGGGAGTGCTAAAGAGCTCTGAAGCACAGTCCAAGCACAGGCCAGGATCACAGGATCAGGAACAGGTCTGCCTATGGACATGACTAAGTAGTTGTTCTGACCAAAGATTTGTATTCTGAGTCATTCAGATCCTGAACTGTCAAATGTTACTTTCCTAATTAACCCTATAATTATTGAGTATTGTCTATGAGTTCTTTGTAGAACTCACTGTAGAATTACTGAACCCAACAGAGAAGCAAAGAGTACCATGGGAAGGGAAAATTGTGTCATAATTCATCAAAATGTTGGTTGGTGACCTTTCTCTCATAAGAATCAGCCTTGGAACGCTAACCTTGATTCTCCTTCCCTGCTTATAAACTGAGAGGAAGTCAGATGTCATTTTCACTGACTCTAGTGTTTCCAATTTGACAACAAAGGTGTTAAGATTTTATGGATGAAACAAGCATCTACTTTGCTCACTACTGTAAGTTTAGAACTTAACTCATACCTTGCATAAAGTAAGATATTCCATAAGTACCTGCTGAAATGATAATGTGCTTAAAACAAGATATGAACCCAAGTCACCAAATTCCTTGTCTAATACATAGTCTACAGTATTTTTACTACTTTTTTCATAATTCTCTAAGATAGGAAGCTGAAGAAACAATTACAATTTATTCTGAGAAAGTATAATGGGTAAGGAAATATATTTGGAAGTCGGCTACGTATTATGTTTTACAGTTCTAAATGATCAAAACACAAAGCCACAACCATTAGCTTTATTCATTTCTAAATACTTGCTATCGGAATTAAATAATAAGTGATTTTTCTATTTATATATGAAAAACTGGTAATAAGATACTAGTCTAACTCCATCATCATATAAATTACTAGCCTCACACCAACTTAGCCCCTAGTGATGGTTCTAAATTCCCTAAAGTTTGTATTTGAGACACTTATTACCTCATAAAACCTTCAGACATAAAAATGAAGAAGATAGCCTGGCACTTAGGACAATCATTATCACCACAGCACAGCTTTATTTTCCTCTATACATTTTTCTTATTAGCTTGACATTTACCAATGTTTCTCTCACAAGAACACAATGTAGAATACTTCAGCTATATAAACTATGCCTGCTTATCTTGATTGTAGTTGTTAAAAAAACTGAATAAATTTAAACTGATTTTGCTTAATAAGTTTCTGAAGAAGGCAATCATGCTTGGCAAAGTAGAAGATGAGAAGTAAAAAACAGGAAAAATCTCAAAGAAATGGATTAATGTAGTGGTTATAATAATGGACTCTAACAGCAAAAATTATCAGGTGGTACAGGACTGGATGAAATAATCATTCTGTTGTTGTACACAAGGTCACAGACTCAGAACTTAACTTGATAGCATCTAACAACAATAACATCAGGGTCACCACTCAATACAAAAAAATCTGAAACTCAATCATGGAAATGCCACAAATTTATCAGCTGAGGAACTGAAGTATTTGCAGTCACATTTTTAAAAACAGCTTATAAATACAAAGCTCATTTTACTGTTTATAATTTCTATAGAAATAGATGATCTATCAAGGATATAGTCAAAGAGAATAGTCTTCTGATGCCATATAGAGTTTGAGCTAGACTTCAAAAGAAAAAACTTTCAATAAGGCTTTTAAAAGCAAACAATTGTCTCATCTTCCCTGGAGGTTTACAAACATTTTCAAATGTCCTAGATGGCTTAGTTTGGGCCACAAACTGGAGACTGAGACAGAATTAGGTCAAAGTAAAGTGATCAACTAAATTAAGTTTAGTTCTTTTCAACTGATTAAATTCCAGCAATATCCATCAAAACAAACTGGAGCTTCAAACTGGTTCTGACTGACTTGACTCATAGCCAGTGAAGCAAAAATAGAATGGTCCTGAAATTGGTAAAAGTGCCTGTGTATTAGAATAACTATCAATAATTGTAATGGGGGGGGGAAAGGCTAACACCCTGCTGGAAACTCTATTTCCCTCTTAGAAAACAAAGGTCACAATGCTTGCAGCATGGTAACCAAATGTCTTGATTAGCAGAGTTAGAAACATCACTGTCCTGCTCAGAGCTGACAGCCACACTGCTATGAATATGAGATGCCTTTCACAGTCCTGCCTATCACCCATATCCGGCTCCTTGTCAAGAACACCCAAAAGGATCACTATGCTTCTTCTGAGTCTCCTAATCTAAGGCTTTCAAACGTGACATTTTTGTTTGAATTACTGCTCTGGTACAACTCAAATTTTACAATTTTTAACTTGCTCTGATTTTCCTCGTGCTCTGTGTGGGCCACTCTTGAACTGGCTCAAACCAGTTTGAATTTGCTTAATGCCCAGGTTCAAAGGTTAGTCTAACCCCAGAAATTAAAAACCTGTCTCCTAGACCACAGAAATAAGTCATCAGCAAACTATATCCTCTTGAGCTGCAGCTGTCCAGTTCCTTGTTTTAGTACTCTCAAGTTGTACATGTGGAATTACCCTAACTACTAATTAATATGTCAGCTGTAGAGAATTAGTTCTTAAAACTACTGAAATCTTTGCAGTGGTCTACAGTCTTTTAATCCTGCTTTTCTGACATTATCAGAGCACAAAGTATTTTGTGATTCAATCAGTATCTGCCCTGTTAACAATGCCCTGAATCTCAGAAACAATGATAGAAAAATAACAGATAATGGAAAAATTAGAGCTCGTAGGTTTCGTTTATGGTCAAAATAAAAAAAAAAAAAAAAGAGAGAGACAATTCAGAAAGAGGAAGAAGCTAAGAGGATTTTAGTGTAGAACATTTACTTTTAGGGACAGCGTGTCCCTTAGACTTCTGGTGAGTTGCCCAGAGCCTCTTCAGTTTCAATCCAAATGACAACGCCTCTCTGAGTCCTCCTTAAGAAATGATTCCACCACTAAAAATTGGATCTACAAGAGCTCAAAAGTACTGTTAAAATGGCCTCAGATCTCTTAAACTAGGCCCACTTTTCTGTCCTGGGCCAAATTCACTACATTCCTTCTCCTTCCAGGTGCCAGGTATTCCACCTGCATCTTCTCTTCTGCTGTCACCAACTACTCTATTTCTCAGGGTTCCTCTAAACCCCAAGACTGACTGTGGAGTGGGACCCCAGCTCCCCCCCTTCCTTGCTGTCCCTGCAAATAAACATAAAGGCTCTTCTAGTTTCAGTAATTTCCTAACGGCTACAAAAAAACAAGAGAGGGAAAAACAAAAAGCAAGAACATAGTACCAGAGATCAAAATTAAACCAATTGTCTTCACTGTTTCTGCCTCTAGGAAAGGAATATTCTATAACCTGCTTATTCAATATTTTAGAAGTATAAATAAAGTGATAATCTAGATATACAAAGATAGCCTAAACTAAATCCAATCTAATAAAACCATAGAACTCCAAGACGATTCCAGTATCCAAAACACTACTTTTATCACGGGTCAAAAAAATACTTGGTTCATGAGATTTCTTTTACAGTATAGATACTTTTGATCTTTTCACAACGTTCTGCCACTTTATTTCCTTGAATACGGTAGATATTAAAACTTTTGTTTTTTAACAAACATGAAAAATATTCAATTTACTTAATGTAAATGGATGAATACAACATCACACTACGATGTACAAGAAAATATTAAAATAAGTTACATTCACTAAGAAGAACCTTAAAGTTTTCAATCATTAGAGTCGACATCACTATTTTCAATAAAACTCTGTAAGTGGGATTTAAAAATCAGGATATTTCATTTTTAGAAATCTAACACCTACTAAAAATTTAAATCTAACAGCAATACTTAGGTGCTTTTTTCCCAGTTAACAGTGTACTACGTGGTGTTAGTATGTTCACAGCCTTATTTCGATAATTACAATTCTAACAAATTTTGTAAAATCAAATTATATACCTAATTTTTAAGCTATAAATCAGAATATCATAAAGAATTAATTCATAGTCTACTATTCCCCTTTAAAGGCAAAGCAACTCTATAAACAAGTACTTGTGGATCAAAAACGTCACTGACTGAATTTCCTGGATGATTTTCCTCAGCCACTTAATTGACTTAAGAGGGTTCTAAAAAGACAGACTACTATACCAGAAGCCTACAACATGCTAAAAGTTAAAGCGGTAAACAGGCAAGGGTCACTTTGTCTTACTGTATAGTCCAATAAACTGCCATTTAATCCAACTAATGTTATTGTAGATACTTTCAGTAAAAAAAAAAGTGCTCCTACTCCACTGCTCACCTCCAATTATTCATTTATAAAATATTGGAGAATTCTAATAAAAAAAACTAAGCAAAAACCTTGAACTGGCAAGACCAAATTTCCACACCTTAAAACTAAGTTTAATCTACTGTGTATTCTACAATCGGATATGGGGGGGGGGGGTTTGGTGTGGGGTTTGGTGGTTTTGTTTTTGTTTTTCAAGAAACAGAACGAAATTACATTAGGGGGTCCTAAGGAGGCTTTCTGGGGTAATCCTTGATCCTCACACGCTAACACAAACATGCAGCCAACATTTTTATGTCCGAGAGAGTGGGTCCATTACACTCAGCAATACGAATTAAATAGCAGTAGCTAATGCCTCTCTTAAATAATTTATACTCTCTTAACAGGAAAAAAAACACACACAACGCTACAGCCTCTTCAATTACCCTTCACCGCAAACCATCGCTGGGGTCACGATCAATCTGACCCAACTGCTCCGGCGGCCACCACGTCCGCCTCACCTCTCCTCACACCCGGCTAGGCGAGTGTCACGGGCGGGGGCGGCCGCCGCAGGGACGTCCTCTGCCCCGCGACCCGGGCGGCCGGCGGCGCGGGGCCGGCCCGGGACTCACCGTGTGGAGGTGCCCTTCCGCACATCGCACATCATGCACTTGAAGGCCTCGGCGCTGTTCCGGAAGGTGCAGACGCTACAATCCCAGTAACCCTCATCGGAGGACGGCTTCGGCTGCCGCTTCGGCCTGCAGGACACAACCGGACACGACGCGGCGCGGGGTCACCAGCAGGCCGCGCCCGGGCCCCGCGGCCGCCTCCGCCCCGCCCCCCGCCCCAATTCTGCGACCCTCGCCCCGCGGGGGCCCCTGGCGCGCCGCGCTCCGGGTCGGAGGGGGAGGGGAGTCTGGGCGGAGAAGGGCGCGAGCGCGTCCGCAGTGGCCGCCGCCACCGCTCTAACAGCGGGCACTACCGCGGCCGCGGGCGCCGCCGCCATCGCGGCTCCATTGTGGGGTAGCCGGCGCTGGCCCCTCACGCTGCAGCGCTCGCGCAGCAACGGCGCCGCCTCCGTTCTCGCCCCGATAGCCCGGGGGCGAGCAGGGCGGCCGCCCGAAGCCAGGCACGAGGGGCCGGGGAGCTCGCACAGTCCGGGCTCCGGGACCGAGCGCTGTTACCTGGTGGGGCTCTTCTTGTCTCCCATGGCTTGGCTACAAACGCACGCCGAGAGTCGCCGCCGCGGCCGCTCTGTTTGTCAATAAGGAGGATAATAAGCCGGGCGGAAGCGGGCGGGGGAGGGAGGGAGGGGGCGGGGAAGGCCGCACCGCCGAGCTCGGAGCAGCGGCCGGATCCCACGCAGCCTCCAGCTGTCGGGGAAACTCCTGCCTGAGCGCACGTGACGCGCGCCCGCCAACCAGCGGCTGCGCCGGAGACTTCAAACGCGGCCAGCGCGGCCCAGCACCCGCGGCGAGTTCGCGGGCGGCCGCTGCAGCCTCCGGCGCCGCCGCAGCCGCCTCTCCGCGCTGTTTCCCGCGCTTCACTTCTGCAGCTCCGGGTGTCGCGCGCTCCAGAGCTCAGAGCCGGGAAGCGCGTGGCCTGCGGCGGGCAGAGAATGCTCAGTCATCCCACGCGAAGGCTGATCCAAGGTGGGGCAGACACTGGAAGGTGGCCCAACTCCAGACGGAGCGAACTGCCTAGATCTCTCAGTAGAATGGTTTGCTTTCCTGGTTTCGCTGTTCTTGTTTACTCAACCATCCCTACCTCCCCCCCAAAAAATAATTTTAAGTAATGCAGGAACTTACATTGAGGGCCGTTGCTAGATGTTTCAAACACACAAATTACAAATAGGAATTGTCACCTTTAATTTAGGGAAATGAAGACTCAAGAAATTAGGTGACTTGCTCTAGGCTAAAAAATGCAAAGCCAGAAGTCTGAACCTGGTTTGAATCCAGGCGTGGCCTTTCAGTAGCTGCTTTTAACACACACACACACACACACACACACACACACACTCCAAAGAAACCCCACAAAACCCTTAATTCCTTTTATAAAAAGAACGATTTTGAAAATTCTGGGTAAAGGGACACCTTTCTCCCCCTTATCATCATTATGTCAATGTAATGGAGATCCTAATCACCATTTACTGCAGTTATTTTACACCTTTTTCTTAAAGCTATCTGATTCGGAAGCTCCAACCTCCGGTCATCAATACAGTCGGTAAACCACAGTCATCACTACTCTGCTCATGATCTGCTTAACCAATGGCAACTAAACTTCTTGGCCTAGCATTGACTCTTAAGAGTATTGAAACCTTCCATACGTTTTCCCCAGTCCCAGCAGAAATGCTGCCTCCTGAGGAATACAGACTAAAGATGAAAATATATTAACTAAAATGTTTCCCCTTTTTTTCCGCTGGCTATTTCTGCCCATCTTTCTAGATTCACATTAAATCTGAATTTCTAAGGAAGCCTGTTACAGAGTTTGAAGGGTGTTAATGTACTACAGAGGATAAATAGAAATACTTAGAAGTCCTGGTTTTCTACCTAGTTTCCCTAATTCTTAACTGATGGATCTTGAAAAATTTGCTTAATTTTTGTCATTCTCAGTTTGTCTTCAAAATGGCATCTGTATAAAATTGTTTTGTGATTTGCAATAAATTTTTAATTTATTTTATTAAGTAATAAAATAACCTTTTTAAAAAATACGCTTCTTGTTAATGGTAATTGCCTTGGGAGTCGAACAGGACTCATAGTGACCCTATGAACAAAAGGCCTGAAGCCTTTCTATAACTATTGACATTTATCAAAGTTCATAGAGGCATGTTGTTTAGGAAAAGGATGCCACTTCTTCCATTTTTTTTATGGTAGGCACCATACTCAAATGCTTCTTTTTAAGGGCTCTAAGTGGGGGTGGGGAATAAAGGGCTCTAAGCAAATATGCAAATATTCTCCCCACCTAGTGTTAATCTCTTCATTTAAAAGACAAGGAAGTTAGGGACTTGGTTAAATGGCTTCTTTTTAATGAATAGGCTAGGATTAGAGCTAAGAGGTCCTATTAGTCCTCCACTAAGCCATATGTTCTGACTAACAGAATCATTCTAATTTGCAGCAATGTCTGCATTCATCCCACCATCTGTACTTTATTGCCAATATATCTGCTCTTGACTCAAATCCTGATTCAGAAACTTTTGAGGAATTTGACTCAGGAAAGCATACAAGCAATCAAAAGCCTACTTTCAATCTCTCTTTATTGCAATACTCATTGCTCATAGCCACCTAGCCAGAACTGACACAGAGCTGACCCTCCAGTGAGATTTGGAGGCTGTAAATTGCGAGGAAAGAGAATGTTCATCTTTCTCTCTGAGATCCGCAGGTGGATTCGAACTGCCAGAAAGGTATGCCTTTTCAGTTAGCAACACAGCTCTTTATGGACTGCATCACTAGTGCTCCCTAATACGTTGTTTGTTGTTGTTGTTGTTGCTGTTGTTATAGTCCATCCAGCAGAGAATGACTCATTGCAATGCTATGAACAGACCTGAATCCCGTCCTATCTTGTGCCATTCTCACAATCTCTAATATACTCTGATATACATTGCTCTGATATCCCATTGCTGCAGTTACTGTGTCAATCCACCTTTTTGAAGATCTTTCTCTTTCACTGTCCTTCCATCTTTCCAAGCATGGTGTCCTTCTCCAAACAAAAGACTGTCCTAGTGACATGCCCAAAGTATGTTAGATGAAACTTTATGATTTTTGCCTCCAAAGAACACTTGAGTTGCACCTTCTCCAAGACATATCTGTTTGTTCTTTTGACAATCCATGGGATATTCTTCTCCATGGGGTCCTCTTCTCCAACACCACAGTCCAAAGGCATCAATTCTTCTTCTATCATCCTTATTCACTGTTCAGCTCTCAGCAGCATAGCAAATGATTGAAAAGACTACCCAGGTGCAGCTAGTCCTCAAACTAACATCATTGCTCCTCAATAATTTGGAGAGGTCCTTGACTGCAGACTTTCCCAATATAATATGTCTCCTGATCTTCTAGATGCTAGTACCAAGTGTATTGAACCTGCATCCAAGTAAAACAAAATCATTGACAGTTTCAATCTTTTCTTCATCTATCCTGATGTTGCCTATATATTGGTCCAGTGGTGAGAATATGTTTTCTTTATGCCAAGATACAGATGATATAACCTTGCTTACTGACAGTGAGGAGGACTTGAAGTACTTGCTATAGAAGATCAAACACTGCATACACATATGTGCAAACACATATGGATATGTCAGTATTGATATAAGTGAATTTAATTAATTCACTTGTCCCACTCATCATTAAAATAAAGGATTTGAAACTATTATCAAAGTAAAAAATAACCTGGGTGAAAGGAAAGGCAATACATTAAAGGACTGACTAAATATGGTAAATAATTGCATTAATCAATGACTATGTTATAAAAGAAAAAATCTATGAGTGAGTGCATTAAAAACCAAAATCCATAAATCATCATTAAAGTGAAAAATATATTTAAAATAAAATAACTGTTACTATAGTCAAGAGCCCTTCTAACTCTTAAAGAACTGAGATTTTTTTTCTTTTTTTATTTTACTTTACCATTTTTTTCTGTGTGTGCTGTCAAATTGGATCGACTGGTACAAGAGGAGATTGCCCCTCCTTCTCCAGCAAAGCATCTGGTGGATTAGAATTGAGATATTTTTATAGTCTTCAACTGGATAGATCATTAAGGAGACTGGCAAGAATTGGTCTGTCTGCAAAAGCATTGATTACTCTGTATTTTTTTTTTCAATTGAAAGAAAACCAAAGCAATAAATTATAAAAATTTCAAATGAAACAAATCACCATTTTACTAAAATATAAATTCCACCATTAAGCTTCATCTTGTTTGTATTACATTGTATGTTCCCTCCCCCTCCAAAAAAAAAAGTGTCAACTTGGCTAGGCCATGATTCTTATTATTATGTAATTATCTTCTGATTTGTGATATAGTGTAATTATATATACTATGTGTTGAAATTCTGTTATTTTAATGAGGCAGAACATAATCCATAGGATTAGGTTGTATTTTGAATCAATCTCTTTTCAGACATAAAAGAGATTAAACAAGCAAGCAGCACTGGTATGTGTAGAAAGAACAGGGACTGAGTTTTTTCCTTTAGACCCAGGATCTCTGGGCTGAGAACTTCCTGGATCCAGAGAAATATTGATATCAAGACACATGGAAATCTCCAAAGAATGCCAGGTTCCAAGATTAAATCCTGTCTACAAATGAATAATAATCTTGTTAACTGATGAGTTAAACTGTTAACTGTTGAGTTTTGTTTTATAAAAATCAAAATAGAGTGCCCATTTTATATCAAAAGGCTAACTGTGAAATCCCAGGGACTCAACCTGCTCTGATGAGTTTTGAGTTTATTTTCATGAGGTATACACATCTAATAAAAACTACGTACATAGTGTTACATATTATTGTTGTTGTTGTTAAGTGTCATCGAATTGTAGACGACTTATAGGGACTCTAGGAAGACCTGAACACTTGTATAACTTTCATCACTTCTCCAAGTTCATAGAGTTTCTGGAGGCAAGCTATTTCAGAAGTGCATGCCCCTCCTGCTTCCAAACTTGTTTTAATCAGGGAGCTCCACCAAACACAGTCCACCATGGGTAACTATTATCACACTTGACACATCAGTGTCACAATGTTTAGCATCACAGCAACCACGAGTTACCTCTGGACAGCAAGTGGACAGACCAGTGCTATACCATTTAGAAGAATGTTTGACAAAAAACAATTAAAACCAGGCGTTAGGGTGGAAATAGGGAGACACATGGGAACGTGAAAAAAGTAATAGTCATAGATCAATGATGATTCATTTAATAAAACTCGGTGAACATGAATGATCATTTGAAACATAATGTAAGTGCAGGAATGTGTGAAAGATACACAATGTATGTGAATTTTATATTCAATATAAAATAAAAATAAAGTGAAAAGGGGGAAAGAAAAGAAAATGGAAACAGCCCAAATGCCAATCAACAAATTAATACACTGAGAAATTGTGGTACATGCACACAATGGAATGTTATGCAGCACTAAGGAATGACAACTTTGTAACATAATATATAATGAGAGAATGATGGACAATCTCCTCCTGTGCCATTAACTGTCTCTCAAAACCCGCCAGAGGGTCAGCTATGGGTTGGTTCCGACTCAACGTTACATGACAATAACAACTATATAACATGGGAGAGTCTAGAGAGTACTATGCTGAGTGAGCTAACTCAGTTTCATAAGGACAGATACTGCATAAGACCATTATTTTTTTTTTTATAAAACCATTATTGTTGAGTG